CCACCCAGCCTGGCCACGCCGATGGACCTGCGGACGCTGGTCCTCGCACTGCTCTCCGACCCTGCCACCCGACCGCCTGGCCCCTCCCGGCCACCCACTCCGGGCGCTTTCCACGTGCGGCTGGCCGTCCTCCGACTGACGCCGCCCAGCACCTGCCGTATGCGCCCCCCCCCCCCTCGACAGCCCACCGCCGCTCAGCCCCGCCTCAGTTCAGCCCCGCCTCAGTTAAGGGTGAGCTAGATATCGATCGAATACGAGCTGACCGCAGGTGTGTTCGAGCGATATCTGTAACTCTTTGATCAGCAGAAGGACTGTTTGTTCGGTCCCAGACGGGGCTCAGTGTATGCTTTCTGCATCAGGGACAAGCTGACAGCAGTTGTTTTCGAACAACAGAACCAGCCGTGGAACGGGACGAGAAAAGATGTTCCTTGGCATTCCTTCGCCTGCGCCCACCTCTACCAGGTGCATACTTCTGCTTGCCGCGCTGCCGACTGTTGGGTAAGCTACTTGATTGTGAAGCTCTAGCTAACGACAGTTGTCTCCGGTCAACAGAAGAACTTCCTTCGGCGGACCTGGTCCGCTGCGCCTACCCCCGTCGACCCCCCTGCCTGGCTTGGTGCCCGCTTCTGTGTAAGCTCCGTTGATAAGGACGAGCTGACGCCAGCAAACATCGCTCTTGCCCACAAATTGCGACAATGGGGCGTTCCTTGAACCTGTCGCTGGAGTGCCGTGGGCCGGAAGATCGGGGAGGACGGATGGCTTTGACCGTGGTCTCGTAGGCTCCAGACGCTCTGGCCAAGGTCTGTGGGCATTCGCGTGGCGGGAGGAACGCTCGTCGGTAAATCTCTGGGACAGCCTGTAAGCGACGACGACGACTGTCCGCATTTTGCTCCTGAACTCTCAAAATGGGTCACTGTTTGACACCTGCTCTCTCCGACGAACGGAACCAGTACAGATTGTGGTCGCCTAGTTAGTTGTTTCTCTTTCGTTGTATAATTTGCGTAATGTTGTATGCATGTAATCGGTGCTGCTTCCAGCCGGGCGCCTCTCTCGCCGGGTTTCATCTGCTTTCACATCTTTCACTAGAAGTACGGGTTTCAGCCATTTTCCTCAATTTCTTCTCATTGGCTACAGAACAGTTCGCTGTCGCTCGTCGACGTCGCCCCGCTGCGGGTAGTCATGGGGCAAACCTGTGGCCGGTTACAACCCACTCATGCAGGCCTCGAGGCTGTCGACGGTCTCGCACCTGGGAGCTTCGACAACGAGACCATGCTTGTCCTTGAGCGGGTATTTAGCCTGGTAAACCGTCCAATCCTGGCACGACTCATTGATGCAGCTGCTGCGGCACAGCCTGCTCCTTACGTCGGCGACGCCGACTCTGGTTCGAACAGTGACACGGTCGCCCTTCCCGGCAGGGGTATCGCAAGTGAAGGACATGCTGCCGTCCCACCCCTTGGTCCACGTGTATCCCTTGTTGAATCCGATGTTGGCAGTGATGTCCTCTGCAAACTTCCCGGCGAGGCCGAGATCCATGCCGACCGAAACCGTCTCCGAGATCGACCACCCGACGGTGCGCGCGATGTGGCACGGCATCTGGTTGTTGAAGCAGTCCATGCAGCCTCCGGGCAGAGGCGAGGGGCCGACCCAGTCCAGAGAGGTGCCGAGAATCTCGCGCTTCTCGTATTGTGCGTTCGGGCACGAGCCGGTGCCTTGACGCTTGGCGAGGATCGCGTCGTGTGGCTGCACGATCTCGTAGACCGTGTTGCCCTGACGCATCGTATCCCCCTTTTGAGCTGTCTCCAGCCACGAGTGTAGCTCGCGGCGCTCCTGGGAGTGCAGCGCGGTATCGAGTTCGACAGCAATGCCGAGTGCGATGGGCAAAAGTGCGATGAGGGATTGGAAAAGGAGCATGATAACTAGATGTAGGAGGCGAGGTAGATCTCAGAGAGAGGAAGCAGGGAAGTCGCAAAGAGTTGGAAAGCAACAAGGCTCTGTAGGTTGGCACGATGTTCTAGCCCTCGTTTATATGCCTACATCGTTAGCCCACCGTTGGATGGCCACCTGCGGCCTAATGAGCAAGTAAGCGCTTGCTTCTTCGCATGCACAGCACATGACAAGCCGAGGCGACGGGCATGGGCTAGCACCCGTGTTCCCCATGGCTTGCGCAAAGCCCATTCATACCGCTAACGAACTGACTACGATTCTCGTGGGGAATCAGAACGGTGAAGTGCCACAGACCGCATCGGATCGCCTGTCCGAATCCATGTCTTTTAGTGCCGGCGGCTACTGAGCCACTGCACCGTTGCCTCCGTACCGGACGCCGAGCGCTGATCACGAGACACGCACTGAGGACACGCCCGGTCTCACGGTGGACCATTGGCACATGAATGAACGCCCACGGGGCTTAGATGCCCGAAACT